CGCTGTCCGCAAATCGTAGTTTCCAGGCACAAAATTCGACATGTTCCACGCTATTACAAACTATACTGTTGTATGAGACTTGTATTGTTGTGAGTTGAAAATCTTTGTTAGATGTCAGAACAAGGAAATGGCGTCATTGACGCGGTCTGACGGCAACTACATTGATGGCTATGGCCATCTATTTGTAAATTCCGGTTTCATATTTACATACCTGGTAAGACGAATGAGTGAAGACAATGAACCGTGAGAGAAAACGTGCAAAATGCAACATAAGTATAGATGCCGATCGTGAATGTCTGAGATCATTGATTATTATATTCCGATGATTGTCCGTCGCCGAATCTGACTCTCCGCCTTTCCGGACGTTCACTCCTTCCTTTATAAGCGAAATTCGGCCGAGAGTAAATAAGAAGCGGAAACACGAAGCGATCGCTTTTCGACTAAGCACTGACCAGATACTTTTTTTCTTTTACTCTTATTTCTGTTCCACTTTATAGTTTGATTATTTTAAACTGATTACTTACATCAAATGCACACTTTTGAGAGATATTCACTATTATTAACACGAAAATTATCAATTATATCTTTCGTGCGTAGTGCGCACGTCTACGTGCGTTCTTCTTTCAGACTTGATCATACAGGTTTGGCGTAGTAACACATCGGATCCGCTCCGCAACAGTTGAATCTGCTAAACGCAACCAATAACAACAGCACCACGTGACGCATCACAGTTTTATATAGGGCGCCAACTATAAATTGTGATTATAAATTTTAATCACATACGTAATATTGTTGTTTATATGTATATATTTATATACTGTGTATATTTATATATGCATTTTTATATATGTATTTATATATGTATTATATACATATTTATATATGTATATATTTATATATGTATATATTTATATATATATATATAATGAATTATATTATTTATTCAATTGTCTAAGCGACAGCTTTGAATTATAAATTCATATTGAGTTGTCAATTAATACAATTTGTTTAAGCTTTGTTATTAATATACGTATATAAAAATGCACATATACTATTATCAACAGAATATAAATAATATGTGTAAAAATTACATAATATATAGTGAAAATGTATACGATGTGTGATTTTACAAAAAATAGTACATTTTACCTCTGATAGTGTAAATGTATCTTTATATTGGTTGGAAAATTACAATAACAATACTATTTCATAGTTTTTATGTAAATGTACAAATTTTTGTAATATTATATGAAACAATTACTATTATCTTATGTAATATTACAATATAATATGTAATATTACCATTAGCTTATATAATATTACAAAAGTTTGTACGTTTACGTAAAAACTGTGAAATGTACTAATGTTATTGTAATTTTTCATCCAATATAAAGACACATTTACACTAACAGAGATAAAATGAACTAGTTTTTGTAAAATCACACAATTTTACATATTTCCACTATAACTTGTGTAATTGTTACACGTATTTTTTATGTAATTTTACGCACTTTTTTTACAGTGTAGATTGATTAGTTCAGCGACAGAACTAAATGTATGTACAAATGTATTCTATAAATTGACTATTATGACAACAGTCGCCATAATAGTCAATTTATAGAATACATTTATACGTACATTTGGTCCTATCGCTGAATTAATCAATCTATAGAAAATTCTTTATATACAGGGTCCGCCAAAAGTACCGGGACGGTCTAATAACTTTTGAAAGAATTAAATTTTCAAAAATCGCCGAAACACCAAAATCCCCCAAAATCCCCTAAATGTCCAAAACAGCTCTTGATCATAATTATCGTTTCAAGAGATCGATTCTGAGGTGAAAATGACAAAAATAAGTAAAGAACCCCGCCATAATCTTATGGAAATTGGGTTTCAGCGAAACTTTCTGGATTTTTTATATGTTGTAATCCTCACCATCCCGAACAAAAGTCTCCATGGCCGTGATCCTCCAAATTCAATATTTCGATAGATAAAGAGCAAACACTATCATAAATCCATATAATTAGATTATCAGAAGAAACCGTGCTTAACCCTTGCCAAAGCAATAGAAAATAATTAATTTTATATATGTATGTAGTAAAATGGGCACTGGATCATAGATCCATGCAGTCAGAAACATTAATCGGCCCTTTTCAGCGCCACATGATGTGTAAAGTCCGACCGAGTTTCCTCCCCGCGGTACACATCGGGTAACGCTAATACCGGCGGCATCGATGAGCGTACACATATACAATGCACGGAAGGGAAAGTAAAAATATAGAATAAATAAAAAGAGCATATGCTTGTATGTGCGTGCGATATTGTGTGCTTTTATGTTGTGGCATTTGTTTATTTTACATATTAAAATTGCAAGAAGATAGCTCAGTACGCATAACAGACAGTAGCGCTAATACAGAGATTTGTCATCAGATAAACATGAATGTCAGCAAGTATATTGATTAAGGTCAATCATTTAGTTCACTATTGACTCTATGATTCTGTGCCCATTTTACTGCGAACATGTATTGTAATTAATTTTTTAACCGGTTTGAAAAGATTTAAGCACTTGTTTCCCCTGATAATCTAATTATATGGATTTATGATAGTATTTGCTCTTTATCTATCGAAATATTGAATTTGGAGGATCACGGCCATGGAGACTTTTGTTCGGGATGGTAAGGATTACAACATATAAAAAATCCAGAAAGTTTCGCTGAAACCCAATTTCCATAAAATTATGGCGGGGTTCTTTACGAATATTTATATAATTTCATTAGTCAATTATACCTAGAAAATCTGCTCACTTTTGTAATTTTCACCTTGTTTTAAGATACAGAATCGACGTTCAAAGTATTGATTATATATGTGATTTTTTTTCTAGAGCAGAAACGCGTAAAAAATGAAAATTTTTACGTACCATATACATATAAATAGGTCTGTTAGCATTGTTTGAAATTTCTCCATAATTTTTGCACTTAAAATGAAGTAAATATGTTCTGGCGTTGAAGAAAAAGAAATTGGATGCATTTAGTACTACAATCGCTCGCTGAGCGCTCAGTGAATGGTTATCGTTCTGAATACCCAATAAAGGTGCTGAGTGCAAAAAGTACAAGCACCGCGAACAGACTATTGACTCCCAGTCTCCCACTTGAAGTATAGATCTTTGCGCTCTCTTTCGTTAGTAGGCTACATTCCAGGGGAATTACCGAAATATTATTATAATACGTATAGCACAAAAAAATCAAGATGTGCAATATTTAAAATGCCAAAAACTCACAGTGATAAAAAGTATGTACAAAAGTACATAAAAAATTGGGAGTTAGAATCAGTTTTTGAAGGTTAGTTTCGCAATAGTTTAACCTTATTAAATAAATAATTACAGAATAGAAAAAATCGATATAATTTAAATTTGACGCAATTTTGACGATACTCTTTCTTAAATAGTAAAGTCTATTCTCTTTAAAATCATTCTTATTCTTTAACGATATAGATTGGTTAAAATCATCTGATGGATCGCCTGATGGAAATTCGAAAAAAGCATATTGCACCTTCTGTAGCACAGTTCTCATCACGCACAAAAAAGGACTTATCGAACATGCTGCGTCGAAGAAACACAAGACATACCTGAAAGATCAAAATATCGTTCAATTGCCAAAATTTGATAAATTTGCGGAAGTGACTTTGACAGAAAAACGAAAAGTAGTTGAGTTGAAAATTGCAGTTTATGTGGCAGAGCATTCCTCCATAAAAGCCGTCGATCATCTTGCTCTTATGATTAAAGAGCTTGATCAGAATTCTGAAATTCTGCGAAACGTAAAGCTACATCGGACGAAATGTTCAGCTCTAATAAAAAATATTCTGTCACCTTGTATCGTACAAGATCTCCTTAAGGACATTGGAAATTCATATTATTCATTGATTATTGACGAATCTACGACGATCGACGTGACGAAAATCCTCTGCCTCATGATTCGATATTTCAGTCAATCAAAGAAAAAGATTATAACAACTTTTTATCGCTTGATTGAAATGACAGCAGGTACCTCTGATGCTATTGTCGAAGCTATCTTGCAGCAATTGAAGAGTGATCATCTAAAGACGGAAAAACTCTTAGGTCTAGGTGTTGATGGAGCCAGTGTAAACGTAGGTATACATCATTCGATGACGACGCTATTGCGGAATATCAATCCAGATCTTATCGTGGTTAAGTGCATTTGTCGTTCATTACATCTTGTAGCCGAAAAGGCTTGTAAAGTCTTACCAAGGCATCTCGATTTCATGGTACGCGAAACACACACGTGGTTCTCTATTAGTAGTAAACGTCAAATTGAATATGCAAAAATTTATTGTATTCTCAATGATAATGCACCTAAAAAAATTGTTAAGCTATCGAATACCCGATGGTTAGTGAGGCTCCAGGCTATTAATGCCATTCTCAATCAATGGGACGAACTACAGCTGCATTTTAAAATTACAGCAAGTAATAAGGAACGCTGTTATACAGCTTCTCAACTATATAACATGTTCTCAACATCCGAAAATAAATTGTACTTGAATTTCCTCAGTTCGACGCTGCAAAATATCACGAGGCTAAACAAATTATTTCAATCTGATTTTACTGATCCGGTTAAATTGTTTAAAGATTTGAATGATTGTATATATTCACTTCTCCAAATGGTCGTCGTTCCGTCACAACTAAAAAAAATATCGCATTATGATCTTGCGGAATTCGATTTCAAACACTTTTGCATGTCTCTCGAGTGCATCAATTTTGGGTACGAATTTAATGTTTTATCTGCCAACATTCATAAAGACTCAGTTGTGTAAATCAAAGAACGTTGCAGAGATTTTTTGTTTGTTCTTATATCAGAATTACAAAAGAGAATTCCTGATAATATGAAAATACTTAATGAAATATCAACATTTGCGCCACAATTCGCATCATCACAGGTAAAAGCTGATATCACGGATATTGTGAGCAAGTTCAGGCGTACTCTGTGCAATAATATTGATTCAATTGTGACTGAGTGGAATTTGCTTCACAGAGCTGAAGTTACCGAAATTGTTTGAGAAATATTGGATCGAAGTCAACGAGCTCACAGACGCAGGCGGAAATAAAAAATTCGGAAATATATCGAAGCTAGTTCTCGGATTGCTTACTCTACCCTTCTCAAATGCTTCAGTCGAACGCACATTTTCTATCGTAAACATTATCAAAGATAAATTACGTAACAAAATGTCGATTAAGATGGTTGAGGCAATTTTACATATTCATTGCACCCTCGATATTGAATGCTTCGAATTCAAACCCACAACAACTATGTTGAAGCGATTTAATTCCGAAACAATATGAAATGATAAACGAAGACGACGTTAAGGTTTTGGATATTTTATCGAACTGTGAATTAGACATTTAGCTCTTAACTTTTGTCTTTTATCTATAATTTTTATCTGTAATGTGGGTCTACAATAGAAGTTGTAGCGGTCGTAGGGTCTTGAATTGTAGAAAATTGACCAATCACAGTCGATTATTCTTCTAATATTCGACTGCGATTAGTTAATTTTTTACGACTTAAGACTTTACGACCGCTATCACTTCTATTGTAGACCCCACATATGGCCCTGCATCCACGATACTAGAAATCGATTCAAGATTTTGAACAGAGAAAGAATTAACAAATTACATTTGAATAATTTGGTCACATGATCAGGCGATTGGTCAATTCTTTCTTCATATAAGATCTCGGATTTCTGGCATCGTGGACACTGGACATAAAGCTTAAAACATTATATTGATACCTTATATAGATACTTCATATATTATATAGACACGTTATGTAAAAATCAATATCAAAAATACTACCTTTTTTCATGTGTATATTTGTGCATATATTTGTTAAAAACTACTATAACATCTTTTCTGAAAATTTTTTAATCCCCTAAAAAATATCCTAAATTTTTTTAAAATCCCCTAAAAAATATCCTAAATAATTTTTCTCTCTATTTGTCCCCTGACGCGGCTAAAAATCCTCTAAATTTAGGGGAAAATCCCCTGATCTGGCAACACTGGCGCGAGCACGGAATATAGTGAATAGACATAATATGTGCCGACTACAATCGCGTACAGCTATAGGCCAAGCCATCGAAACCGTCGCGATTGAACGCCACGCACACTGCACCTGCGCCAGACATTAAACAATAAAAACGTTCAAGGAATGCACTCTCTTGCATAAACATCGCCGCCACGGGATAGGAAATAGCGAATACAATAGCCGACTTCGACGCAGTCGCAAGGGACGACTGCAGTCTCGCGGAAAAACGAATAAGAACGCGTACCAACAACATAACGCATCTCAGTGCAATTTCAAATGCACCCACCGGTCACAAAAGGTCTCTGAATACGAACGAAATCATCACGAATAAAATCGAAGCGCACATAACTAAGAGAAAGCCTTAAACAAACACCAAAATTCCACGCGCACAAAGAACGAAAAGATCCGGAACAATACAATGAAAAAACGCGCAGACAAGATATGCAAGTTCTGCCGCATTAGGCTGCAGCACGCGGCAACCGAGCACACCACACGAACGCGATCCCCGTAATGAGATAACGCGTTCAAATCTAGTAAAACCTAATCACTAACAAAGTAAATTACTAATTAGAAGATCGGCACGTTCTAGAGAATTTCGCAATAGCACGTGGACGAAAACGTCTCCTTACCGCGAGGGGCCACGAAGCCAAACATATATAAAGCAGAGCGTTTTAAGACGCGCGTCCTCATTTTTCCTCATCATTCTTCCCGCCAATTAACCACGGCAAGTTCTCCTAGCGCTTTAACTAGCGCTCTGATACTTCCGTCTTCCCGAAAATCCAGCCCCGATTGTGCACCTTTGCGGCGTCTGAAGGGTTACTCCCATCCTCACCTTCGGCGGCGCTAAACCAAAGTGACGACGAAGATCGCCTCCTGCGGAGCTCAAACGAATGCCTTCCACGGCGTCGAAGCCTCCGTGTTCACTCCCCTCTCTCACCCTCTCGGTACAACGACCCACACCGCTGCGGTCGCCGTCGTATATCGCGCCCGCCCGCAGATCGACGAGGCCTGCGATCATAACGAGCAAACCGCGTATCACGAACAACTAGCCGTGTAAATTAAATATAAAAATAATTAATCTTCACCTTTCGTTTAATTCTTTGCCTCTAAGGCCCTTTATTATTCTTCCCTGTTCCCTTTCCCACACAGGAATCAGAGAGCGTAGATAGGGCGAAGCGTGTGATGAAAATATCACAGCTGCCCTCAGGAAAGAGATCTTTATATCTTCACCAATTCCTCGTACACCTTCGTGTACTACGGGAGCTTTATCTGACAATTCCTCTAACTCTTTGTTTTAATTTCCTCCCTGTGCATAATAAGGGAATACGGAAGCTTAACATACGCTAGATATAATAAAAGATATCTCATGAGCAAAATAATAATTCAATTCGTGCCTATAACAAAGGCACTGGTGACAGCAGCCTGCCTCAACGAGTAAACACATACCGAAAAACGAATCTCACCCGAAGCCAAGGCTTCACCCCGCGCGCCCCGCTCCGCGCTCGCGCTCCCACGATTCTATGTCGCGTCCCGAGACCGCATTATACTAAACACGCGACTCAGGATGTAACATATGCATACGTATTGATATATTTTATCTAAAAAAGAAGTGTGATATACAGGGTGACCCATTTTAACATAGCCAGCCAAATAACTCGAAACATCGCGATTAAATAAAAAAATGTTTAAAACAAAAATTGTTGGATATTTAGGGGCTGATTGATCTATGATCTTGACAATGACCTTGACCTTCATTTTCAAGATTATTTGAAGGTCTACTTTCAATTTTCAAATAGAAACCCATATTTTTGATTCACGAATCTAATAGCTGATATCGAGAGCTTTCCAAAATGCTATAATAAAATATAAATAGTAATAAGGCTCTACGATAGTAAATAAATTCAAGTAAAGAAAGAGCAAAGAGCCAAAGTATAGAAAATTAACAACACATATATATATTAAAAATAATACAAAATACATACAAATTTAGCAGACAAAATTAACAAACGTTTCGAACCCGATCGGGTTATTTTCAATGATAACATAAATTAATATAATGTACAGAATAAAGTTTTTCTTTGTAATATCGCCACTTGAAGAAATCTGGGTAGTATCATTGTAAGTCTGATTCCTCGGAAATAAATGTGTATAAAAGAAACCGCGAATACTAAAGTCAATAACAATAAATTACTTGATCAAAATTAAAATTCATAAAGACAAATAAATATAATAAAATATTTTTTCATGAAGTACTTTTCAAGTTATAATGCTTCAAAGTTACAGTATCACCGGCATTAGCATTACTCAAAATATTTAATTTTGGAGACTGGCCAGTCAAGGCGAGATCGGTTGGTGGTCCGTGAATCTTGACCTTCAGTTAACGCACAAATAAAAACATCAGGGAATGGAAGTAACTCGTTACTTGTAACGAAGTTACAGTTACAAATTACTTTTTTGGTAACTTTACTAGTAACTGCGTTACTTTTTTTCTTTGGTAACTGTAACGGTAACGAAGTTACATTTTTTTGGTAACGGTAACGAATTT